AATTGTCCAACAACTTACCAGTGAAATCGTGTTACAAGAAGCTTTTAGGGAGCCAAAAACTCATTAGGAGAAACATGTCTCATATAGATATTTTGAAACTGTATGAAGTTGTGAAAAATATTGTTCTTGAAAATATGTATTTACGTCAAGTTTATGTCATCTTAAAAAAAAAGATCTTTTTAGGAGTTGTACGAACTTGTTTGATGGTCAAAAAACTCGTCTTTTTGTGTAAAGAGTGTAACCTTCACGACATTTTTTACGAAACCCACCTTGTACATTATTTATTGTTGCATCAAACAAGAATTCAGCAAGTTACAAAAAAGGAAAAGGTAATGTGTGTGCTGAATATTTAAATTAGGTTACAATGAGATGCATGTGGCTTTTTGTCTACAGAGTTGTGACCAGTTCCTTTAGAAAGTTGTAGAAAAGATAAAAGTTATTAAATTTAAAGGTGTATTCCCCCTTCAACGAGATTCAGGGGCCAGAAACATTTTGCTATAGAGTAACCCTATAAGATAGATACAAAATCCTATGGGTTGACAAAAAAAATGCGTCATACAAAGAAAAATCATTGTAGACCAAATTTTCGATGGAGAGAATGTATCTGTAAAAATGGGACTGTATTTGTTAGAACATGGAATTTGATATGATATGCGAGGTTGAACTGAATAAGAAACTAATTTTTCAGAAAAAAATCGTCTCAAATTACATCATTTCCTTCAGAGATGTAGCAGTACTTTTCAGCATGTGTTTCAAATCACATCATTTCCTTCAGAGAGACACTGTAGAAGTAATAAGTGCTTTTCAACATATCCATCAGTTCACTTTTTCATTCGAAAAATTAAATAATTGAAAATATTTCAAGGTATCAAGGATTTCTGTATGTTTGGAGAATCTCAGGCTGCGTCAAAAGTTTAAAAAGATTTATAGCATTCAATCCAATAATTGAAGCTAGCCTTATTTTTATTAGACCAAGAAATTATTAATTGGCATGGTTCCATAAAGCATCCGATTCTTCGCCTAACTCGAGTCAATTTTTCATTCTGATTGCAGTCAAAAGACACCAAACATTGTCATTCAAATGGTGCTTTGTTCATGGAATACAAGTGTTGCAGGGCATATATAATCAAGGTTTTCTGTTAAGAGTTTAAAATACTCGGTAGGGACATGTGTGTTTAGGAGCTCTTAACTTCTGAGCCTAAAATCCCCTTGGGCTTTTGAACTTTAGTGAAAGGTGTTTTTTTGTCAGAGCAGCCAGACCTTCGCGAACTGCCGGCAATATCGTCTTTTATACCGTTATTTCTTCCCCGAGATTTCCAGCAAACAAAAGGCGAGTAAAAATGCTTTGAAATACTTAATTTACTTCATTTTTTGACTGAATTGATTCATTGCTTAATCACGGAAACGATATTACAGTAGATAAGCTTCCGTCGAGACGAAATATCTTACATCATAATAAACTATGGAGCATTTTTATTCAGCCAGAAAGAACCGAGACAAGTTCCATTTTATTTTCCCCATATTTCTTATTTTATTTCATCAGCTCAAGAATAATTGTTTTGAAGAAATGAAGAATTGTGAAAATATTGTGGCATGCAATCCAAACTTACCGGATGAAGCCAATTTTAGACTGTCTGAAGCATGTTGCGAAGCTATAATTTCGCAAAGCATTTAATTTGAATTTATATTTGAGTTTCAATGAACTCCCTCATTCGTCTCCACTAAAATCCCACTGGATTCATTGCTAATCTGATTCATCGGTGCAAATCCACTAAGACAGCATTATAGATTTGTGTTTTTTTTTGTTTTTTGTTTTTTTGTTTTTTGCTGGGCAAAGAAATTTGAATTTTCTTCCGTGCTAAAAAAAAAAACGTTGAAAGCTGAGAATGCATTTCTAACCATTGCACATACTTTATTTCTTAATTTTTCTGTTCTCTGGATAAATTTTAGACTGGTTGGTGAAATCAGCTTCAACTTTATACTGAATTCAACTCTGTATCATAAAAGTTTCGAAAATGTCGGTACGAGTATGGTTACCAGTCAGTTCTTTAAAATGCTCTCATGAGTATACTTAATTTACTTCATTTTTTGACTGAATTGATTCATTGCTTAATCACGGAAACGATATTACAGTAGATAAGCTTCCGTCGAGACGAAATATCTTACATCATAATAAACTATGGAGCATTTTTATGCAGCTAGAAAGAACCGAGACAAGTTCCATTTTATTTTCTCCATATTTCTTATTTTATTTTATGAGCTCAAGAATAATTGTTTTCAAGAAATAAATAATTGTGAAAATGCATTGGCATGCAATCCAAACTTACCGGATGAAGCCAATTTTATACTGTCTGAAGCATGTTGTGAAGCTATAATTTCGCAAAGAATTTAATTATAATTTATATACGATTTTCAATGAGCTCCCTCATTCGTATCCACTAAAATCCCACTGGATTCATTGCTAATCTGATTCATCGGTGCAAATCCACTAAGACAGCATTATGGATTTGTTTTCTTTTTCTTTTTGCTGGGCAAAGAAATTTGAATTTTCTTCCGCGCTAAAAAAAACGTTGAAAGCTGAGAATGCATTTCTAACCATTGCACATACATTATTTCGTAGTTTTTCTGTTTTCTGAATAAATTTTAGACTGGTTGGTGAAATCAGCTTCAACTTTATACTGAATTCAACTCTGTATCATAAAAGTTTCGAAAATGTCGGTACGAGTATGGTTACCAGTCAGTTCTTTAAAATGCTCTCATGAGAAATGTCAAAAATTAAATCACTAAATTAAATTCGGAAGAAATAAAAATTATATCTATTGCATTGATATCAGGCGTATACTGTACAGTATAACTCGAACGATTTGAAATAATTTTTTTTTCATGGACTCCCTCTGAATTCATAAAACACGCAAGCATCACAAATTAATTCTTGAAATATCATGATAGAATTGAAGCAGAAAACTGCCTCACAATTTAAGGAGGTAAGATTCTTATTGAAGAACAATACTGTACTGCGAAGTACTGCATTTATATAAAGGCTCCATACGAGAGTATGTATATAGTACTTGTATTTCGCAGAATTCAGCGAGAGAAAAAAATCAGTGGATGCCGATTTTATCCACTTTTCCCCGAGGACACCGAAAAGGGATTTACAATGTGAGAAAAAAGTGGGCTGGGGATTAAGGTTCAAATGGAAGTGCTGGGAATAGATGAACCCTCTGTGTGCGTCTGGTTTTGCCAAAAGCATGTGGAGGAAACAAAACCGCCAAAACCAGACAAGCTTTTCTCTGCCCTATTGTTTGGGCCAAGTACCGGGGTTGAATCGAAAGTTCCGTACGGTTTGTTCATTGGTTTTTTTTTGTTTCATGTTGGATGAGGAGAGAAGGAGTTATTCAAGAATAATGTGCAATTTTTTTTACAACCACTGCCATAATTTTAGCTCACCTCCGAGGTTCGAATCCGGAAAAGAAAAAGGCCATGAAAGTATACACCTTTAAACTTCGAGAGAAATCAAATTTTGCCGCCTGAATTTCCCAAATTTTCAATTTAGAATTTTATTATTGTCGGACAGTCCGATGACTGAAAATTTTCAAAATCGTGAAAATCTTCCTAATACAGGTAACGAATTTCTCTCTCATACGAGGTATTTTTTACTTAATTTAAAATACGGCTTGAGGCCAAATTTTATTTAGTGAAAATAATGAGTTAATCCCTTAGCGTACTATACATTATTTTTTGAAATGCAATCGATTAAATAAAGTCGTGACATTTTTATCTTGTTTATACGAGAAATGCTTTTTCTTTTGAACTTTGAGGTTAATCCAAAAGCTTGGTTTATTCAAATTTTGAAGGAAGCAAAAGCTGTGTGATGTCTATCAAGCATGTGCTGTGTTTTAGTGAGATATGACAGAATAAGTTTATTCCTGGTGGTTGTTTTTTTGTCAATGCTGAATGCGAAAGATATTTTCGAAAGATTAAGTGGTCTACGGAAGAAGTTGCCCTGAGGCCAAAATGGAAGAAAATCTTTAGAGAAAGCCTTGACAAACATCAATCTTTGCAGAATAGCTGGGATTTTCTACTCCAAAAAACTTGGTTGGACTCATATAGCCTATGCTTGAAAAGTATATTGAAGAAACTTTAGAATCACCCCTCTTCTTTTGTTCATTTTCATGCCTCTTTCCAAAGCATTGTGTGTGTCTGTCTGTCTCTTATCTCGATAACACCAGAAAGAAAGAAAAAAAAAATCCACTACCCTTTCCTTTTTCCCCCAGCCAGTCTTGAAACCATCCAGTGTTTCCTTGAATTCCGGGGGTTCAACTACGTGTGAAAAGACGAGTGAAAGCCGGGCATTTCAATTTCAATCGCTGTTCTACTTGTGATCAATTGACCCAACTTTTCAGACTTCTGTCGTGAGGCACTTATAAACTATTCGGCTTTGAGTTTCAATTTTTTCAAAAATCCTTGAATCGTGTTGCCTTTATCCATTCCAAAGAATAATCGCGTTCAACTCTTGCGACGCTGTGTCTTAATATTTCAGTGAAAAATATTTTGGTTAATTCAGCACAAAGAGGACTGTGAGATCATTTGTTATAGGAGGAATGTCTGGGTTCATCAGTTGGCAAAATAACACTCGTAAAACTAATTTTAAAAAAGCCTCCTCGGACCCGAAAACATTTATGGTGTAGAATATCGCTGGACTTATTAATCTTATTAATCGGGAATATTATTTTACTTTTTTAAATGCTTAAAATTTTCGGAATTTGTTTCTGTGCTTGCTAAAAAATATGTACGCTTCGGAGATTCGGGTTAGAACCCGGAAACTTATTCGTTTTAAATGCTGAGAGAAAAGTGTGGCGTGANGGAAGAGGCATGAAAATGAACAAAAGAAGAGGGGGTGATTCTAAAGTTTCTTCAATATACTTTTCAAGCATAGGCTATATGAGTATAACCAAGTTTTTTTTCTAAGTAGGAAATCCAGCTATTGTGCAAAGATTGACATTTGTCAAGGATTTATCTGAAGATTTTGCTTGATTTGTGTCAAGAAAGCTAAAAAAAATGGAGATCGCGTGGAAAATTGCGTTCATGATTATTTCCCTCGGCACTTGTTGGGCTTCATCAGCTTCGTCACACAACTCGACACTGGGTCGGAGCAGAACCCGTCGACATTGGCGTTTCGACGACACGCGAGTGTCGAAAGCAATTTGCATCTTGCGCTGTTTGAAAGACGTACGTGATGACTTGTCTACGTGATATATATTTTTTTATATTTAGGATGATGTGATTGCCTTCGAGTCACGATTTCATATTTGCATGTCTGCGTTTTTCTTTTCATTTATTTTTTTTTTTTAGCAAGGAGCCAAAAACTTGTACATCCCGTTTCCGGACCCGAGAGGAGTTTATGCCCCCGTATACACTTGTCCAGAGAAATCCGTCTTCAGCTGTCCAAAGGTTTCTTCGAGGCTTATTAAATTTTTTTGCAAAGAATTTTACTTTGCATTATAAATTGTGAATGATCTTATAAAACGGATTTAATTTCCAGTGTGTGCAAGGATGCCCAAACGGATCTCCAAATGCCATCAGCAGGCAGAAGCTAAGTGAGTTTTTATCTGGCAACCATCAATCCACCATTTTAAAGTTGTTTCACATTTTCGNGAAATTGGAACTTTCCAAGCCCAGTTTGCATTGTCGGTCCTGGGCCCCGATGACGGACGAGAATCGGGTTGTGGATCCCGAAGCTGGTTTGGCACCTGCAATTTATTTCAAATACGACGTGGTGGATTCGGAAACAGGACTCGAACCCAAAGTCAAGCAGTCGGTAGCATTCTTAATCGACCTGCGAATGGTGCTGGCTTACAACGACTCTACAGAAATCTGGTCCGAATGGGTCCCGGTTCCTGAAGTTGTGAGTTTGAATAAATTATTTTTAAAATACATTATTTTTCCAAATACCTTTTATCATCGTATACCAATTCCAAGAGATTCTGTATTGCTGCATTTTCGATTAATTGAATTGGAAAAATCCCTCAAATTTCTATCGACCATTAAAGTCTATATGCAGGACGTCAAACTGATGAAAATTTAAACAAAACCTGTTTTTTTTCATTTCTACGTTAATGTAAAAAATTTTTTTTCAAGTTATACTTATGTACGGGTCGACTCTCTCTATTCAACGATGTTGTCTACAACAATTTCCTCTGGTATAATGATTTTTTGGGGCCCATGATGGTTTTTTATAAGAAAGAAATTCTCTAGAATAACAGTATAAAGAAATTTTCTGGTGGTTTTAGTTGCGAAGGGAATTAAAAATCAAGAAAGATTGTGTTTCTGAGGGCATGGTATAATATATAACTGATTTTAAGAAAACATCACACGCGTAAGATCATTTTACTAAACAAGAAAAACTTTTTAAATGCAGGTACTGTAGATAGACTCGCTCTACAACGAAATTTTCGATCGAAAGGAATTTTTTGGTCCCCTGAATTTTGGCGCCCTCCAAAACGAGATTGAATTGAATTTCGTTTTCAAGGGGATCGAAATCGTTGTATGGAGAATGTCTACCTGTACATGAGAAAAACAAAACTTCTGCTAAAAATTAAAACCTTATACATGAACGTAGAATTGAAAAAAAAAGTTTTGTTCAAATGTTCATCAGTCCGACGTCGAAAACTAAATTCAATTGATTTTCGTTTCAAGAGAGCGTCAAAATTCAAGGGACTGAAAAATTCCTCGTGGTCGAAAATGTTGTATAGAGTGAGTCTATGCCTGTATTTTAAAATTTTTGTTTTTGTTTTGTATAATTATCTTACCGCACACTACAAAAACAGTATAGCCAGTGTATAAAATATAGTATGGAAGTCTTCGTGTTGGAACTAAAAGTTAAGGAAGCGTATAGGCGCACGCAATAATTAAAGCCTTAAGAGAACTAACTAGTTATTTTACAATCCATTTTTCTCTGGAATAAATGACAGGCAACTGAAGGAATGAGGCCATTCGAAGGAATGACACCTGGAAAAACTTACCAAATCCGAGTGTCAGGAATCACCGACAAATACACTTACCTTCCTTCGGTGATTTCAGATCCGATCCAAGCAACTGTTCATCCTGGTTAGCTCCAAATATTCTTCATTCTTTTATTGGTTTATTTATATATTTTTAATCTGTTGTCTCTTTACAAAGATTGGTACTTCAAACCAGAACCACCTTCCTTGGCGAAAATCTACGATTGGATTCGCACGAATGACTCCGATAACAGACTGAAAGCTCTCATGCTCATGGAGCCGAATTATGGTGAATTTCAAACAATTTTTGCGATTTCAAATTTTGTCATTTGTTCTACAAATCATGTGAATGTATTTAGAATATTCCTGTTCTTACGAAATGCACTACAGTCGACAAGGAAGCCAGAGTATGATGACGTGGTTTTCTGAGGTACGTTCAATTTTTTTTTTTCGTGGTAATTTTTAGAATATTTCAATCGAAATCCGGCTTCTTTTTTTTCTCGGCATGTCACGTATAAAGCGGTATAACCTGTTCTACCTTAAATCAAGCGTCATGTGCAAAGCTTAAGCACGGTTCTTAGGGGAGCCTTTCTGACTTTCACAACGCATGTAAATGTTTCACCTTAGACCATCTTGTTTGGAAGTTTATGCTGGCAGCTTCGAATTTTGTCGTGAGAAAGTTTTCCTCATTTTATCCTTTTTACGGTTTTCAGGAATGAAATTTATAACTTCTGATAAATACAAATTGTTGGACTCGCTGCTTTAGAAGATGCATTTTTATAGGATTCGAAAGACAATAGATTCATTTCACCTGGTGTTTATAAATGTTTTTTGAGGAATCTAAATTTTTTTCTTACTGGCATTTGGAAATTAGCATATCTAATACAGTACTGCTTCAGAATAATCACTGATTCATTTATAGGTAGCGAATTTGTGTAACACAGGCCTCTTGAAGTCAAACTCAGAGGCTGGGACTTTGAAAACATTTTTAACGTTTAAATTTCTGAAATCAGAATTTTTGCCGTGGAACATGGAATATTTTACTGTAGCGAAAAGATAAAATTGGTGATATTTCATGGCTTTCAACTGCTGGATCACTGAGTTGAAAGGCTGCTGAAAT